ATTTTGGAATTTTTTGACTATGACTTTCACAAATAATATTTAAATATTTAATATAATTAAAAAATTACCAATTAAAACCTTGATCATTTAGTTTAATTGTACCACAATTTATAATATTTTATTTAAACCTAACATCTCATTTATTTGAAAATTTCTTAAAAATTAAAAGTTCATTTCATTCTTATGAGTTGTTCTCTCACAAAACTCAAAAGAATACCTATGATAAAAAACTAAAAATCCCTAAATTATTAAAAAGTAGTAAATGTTGTCTATTTTAGTAATTATGCATCATATAATAGTTTTAAAATTTTAATTAATAATTAATAAAATTTATCATATATTGTCTACAATACTTTTAAAAAATAAATAACTAAGTACCAAAATAACTTTCAGTCATAACTATTGCACAGTACACTTACAACCCTACTCACATGTAATACCCCAAAAATTTTTAGGATAAATAAGTGAGTTAGGGACTAACTTGTGAGGAAAATATTTTTTTGGGCTTAATTGCCAAAAATTCAAAAGTAAAGGACTTAAAAGGGAAAAAAATTTGGATAAGGATGGCTTCTTTTCTTTTCTCTTTTTTTCCTTTCTTTCTTTTCTTCTTCCCAGCCCGCGTGTTCTGCTCTTCTTTTTCTTCCCCTGCACCGAGCAAAAAAAAAAAGGGGGGGAAACCAAGCAAGCCGACAGCCTCCCATGAAGAGAAACCGGTTGAAAGCTTGAAGATTTCTCCTTCTTTTCTTGTTCTAGAACCCAGAAATCTTTCCCCTCTGCAGAGAACCCCGGATCTGCTCTGTTCTTCCTTCCTCACCGCCGGCTGCTCCTGCTTTGTGGGGGCGAATTGCTTTGATTTTCCGGTAAGAACAGCCATGGGTCTCCTCCTTTTAGCCTTAAACTAACTTGGGTTACTCTAATTTGTGATTTTGGTTCTTGAATTTTGGTAGCCGTGAGCTTTCTTCTTCCATGCCGTCGGCCTTCCCCAATCTGCAGCTCCGGTTTTAGCTGGAGAATTATAGTATGTGACGGCCATTTAAGCTTGAAAGTATCCATATAGTTTGCTGCTTTGTGTTGTCCAAATTTGACAGAAAAATTGGGGATAATTCTGGTAGCTTTAGGATGAGATTTAAGCACTAATTCAAGTGGGTTTTTGTTTAATTTAAGTGTAAATTGCTTGAGTTGGTTGCTGTGATTTTTGGAGAGAAAATCCCGTGAAATTAGCTAGTGTTTTGGCCAATTTTGGAAGTCTGAGTTACTGTTCACACACCGAGGGTCAACAATTATCGGGGATTTAAATGATTAGTTTGTGATATAAGAACGAATTTGGAGATATCTGATAATGTGGAGATTGATAGGAATAGTATCACGATTAGGGGTAGTCCTAATGATGATTTTAGTTTGAATTTGTGGTGGTACGGTATTAATTCTCGGATATTTGATTAGATTCTTGATCCTTGGGGTACTTTAGTACGTGAATTGAGTGCTCGGTTTTATGCGATTTGAGGTAAGTAAATTTATGGTAATGCCCGTACAGTTTTTAAAAGCATGTTTTGATTTGTTTTTGAAGTGGTGGCGGGACTAAACCCGTTTTATACAAGTATGATTGTTTGAAGTGAAATTTTTATGCTTTTCATTAAATTGAGCATGTTTACTTGAAATTTAATTGATTGTCCTGATGATTTGAAAGTGATTGGTGAATTATGATTTTTTTGTTAACTTCAGCTTGTTTTGTCTCCGATGTGGTCATGTTATTAGTGACCCTGCTAGTGGGGATTATACGCTAGCACATGTCGACATGTTAGTGATAGAATTGGTTCGTTGAGTGACCCTGCTAGTGGGGATTATACACTAGTAAATCGTGTGCCTGCCAGTGGGAGGTTTATAACACTGGCCGTGATCTATAGAGGAGACGTCTATTTCGTTCCCGTACTGTATCCGTTTTTCGTGATTACACTTGTTGGCATGCTATAAGTTTAATTAAGGGGCACTCCATATTTACTTACTGAGTGTATCTCATAGTTTTTCCTTGTCCACCATTTCAGGAAGTGAAACCGAGGACGGGGAAACCACGGAAAGTGATGAGTTAGAAGGCTAGCCATTTCGAGATTGATATAGATTCTAGAAATAAATCGTTATCTTGTAAACTCGAGTGTATTTGGAGATTTTATGATATCAGAGCAGATTTTAAAGATTTTATCTTCAAATTTTGTGGTATTAGATTGTGATATGATTAAGTTCCGAGCCTTGTGCATTTGTGGAACCCTCTCACGAGTGCACGGCGTCTGTCGCGCCTCGAATTCGGGTTCTGGGGCGTGACATCACAGTTGCAATTATGATCATATTTATAATCACAGTACCTCACAATAATTTTAAACACACTCTTAATCCTCATCCTTCACTGTGAATACTAGATATTGTTCTAATCTTTCATTTTAACCAAAAATGATCCCCAATCTTTTCAAAATTACCAAACTTAATCATAAGATTAGTTGCTCTCGTTAATTTTCAAAATAAAATCTTAAGCAGAATTTTGTGAGGTCCAATAGAAATTTTTACATAATTTTCTTTTAATTTTCATTGCCCTACAATTATTTTTACTAAATTTTGGACTCTTTACACACTTTAACTCTTCTTTTCTAAAAAATGCTTAGGATTTTTTTTTACCTCACAGATGAGGGTTTATATATATATGTTACTACCTGAAATCCTGTAATTTGAGATGAATTTTCACTTTATATTTTTTATGTATTTTATAAAACAATAATTTAGATTATAAACAGTTTGCAATTAAAAAATATTTAAGTTATGAAATTCATTAAATTGTTAAATTATTAAATTACATCAAAAGTTTGTCGGATTGAAGTAAGGGCTTTGCATTAAGTAAAAGGAAAATAAAAATAAAAAAAAAGAAAAGAAAAATGGAACATGTTCTTTGGAGTTTCCAAAAAAGCAAAAAATACAGAGTTCAGTGATGTTAAAGAAAAAGAAATATATGTTTGGGTGGTAACAAAAAAAAGGTTTAGAGGTTTTTTTTTTTTTATTTGTTTAAGGATTTTGTTGGCTTTCTAAAATTTTAATTAAGATTTTTTATTATGAATTTTTAACGGAAATAACCAACAGTGGTATTATATTTGGCAGGTTTAAAAAAGTTTGGGACTATTTCTAGTCTAAATTAAAGATTGAAATAATATCTAATATTTATGGTAAAAGTTAAGGACTAAATCTGATATTTATTCTAAATTTAAATTAAAAAAATATTAGTTATTTTGAAAAAATGCAATAATTACAATTCTAAATTCTTCTTAATAATCAAAACAAACAAAACTAGTACTTTTAAAAATAGGATTTGTCTCCTGGTCAAAAAAAAATAATAATAGGATTTCTCTAACTTGACAGGTTAATTAGGATATTTTTAATTAATTTTACATAATATGAAATTCATAATTTTTTACAAAATTTGAGGTAAACATTATATTATATTATATTTTTACATTTTATATTATATTTTATTTGAATTTTGCTTAAAAAACTGTGTAAAATTAATTACAAATATTATAATAAATAAAGTTTAACTTATATTTAAGAGCACAAATTAAAAAATAACTTAAAAATATATTAAAATTTGTGTACATAACAATTTCATTCTTGTGGCATTAACCATCCTGGGTTAATGTTGGGAGAGTAAGAAAGAAGAATAAAACAAAAGTTTTTCTCTCTCCGCGCTCTCAAATCCTTCCTCAAACGGCAGTGGTTGGTTGGTAGTTATGTGACCAATTTGTTAAGGTCAGGCCAATCTAATTTTTATCTAGTGTCCGTTATTAAGAGTTAATAATTGAAAAAATAATTGATATTTATTATTTAACATAAGGGTAAATATGGCTCAGTTTTGATTGTAGTTGAAATTGAATTATGGGTTAACCAAAATTTCAAGTTTTAAATTTTAACAACTATTAATCAAACCAAGAGGACAGATATTATTGGTTTCGGTGTTATTTTTGCAAGTAACCATTTGAACTGGTTTCACTTTTAATCAAGAATTATTTTCATATTTTTTAGTATTTTTTGAATTTCTTAATTATTATTTTATTAATTTCAATCATTAAGAATTAAAAATGATATAGATAAATAAATAATTAGTAAAAAATGGCTAGAAAACCTCAAAAAAAATCTAGAAATCTTTAAAAAAAATTTATATAAAAGGTTTTTGGTCCAGATTTTTTAATTATACTCACCCTAGTCATTGTTTTTTGGTTTTTAAACTTAGTAACCAAAACTCACGTTTAAAATTAGTGTGGTTCGTTTTTTAATCAAATAAACTCAAAATTCAATTAAAGTATATATTTAGCTCCTTACTTTAATAAATTTGAAGCTTTTAACCCTTCACCATATACTATAAAGTTTTTAGTCTCTAAACTGAAAGATTTGAAGATAAGTCTTTAAACTAACGGAATTCATTAACTCTCCATTAAAATGAGAATAAAGTATTTACAAAATCAATCCTTAAAATTTAAAATTGTAATAATTTAGTTCCAAAAGTTTAAAAATTAAAAAAATTAGTAAATTAGAAATAATTAGTGGATAATTTTGCCACATACACTAGAATAATATTAGATATTTACAATTAAATCAAATGATTAACTCAATTTGGAAAAAGAAATTTGATTAAAATTAAAAAAAAATTCTTGGTTATATTATTCTAATCTCTTGGACTTTTTGTTTTAATTCAGTTAAGAAATTTTCTTTAATCTCAATCAGAATTCTTTCTTCAAATTGAGATAATCGCTTGATTTAATTAATATAAATATCTAATATTGTTCTAGTATATTTAAGAAAGTCATCTATTAATTTTTTTTAGTTTACTAATTTTTTTAACTAATTTTTTTTAATTTTTGAACTTTTGGAATTAAATTGTTTCATTCTTAATTTTTGAGGATTGATTCTGTAGATATTTTATTATCACTTTAACGGAGAGTTAATGGATATTGTTAGTGTAGGGGCTAAAATCTTTAAAATTTTAAATTTAAGGGTTAAAAACTTTATACTATAAGGTGAAAGATTAAAATTTTCAAACTTAATATAAGATAAAAGGTTAAACGCATACTTTGGACTCCAAAACCCAGCCAAACCCCACTCGTCGGTTATGGTTTCGTCAATTTTCAATTTTTTTTTTTCAATTGTGAATTTTTTGACCCACCCCTAATTTAACATACTAAAATTAGTTTATGAAAATACTATAGTTACAATACCATGTGACATTGTAAGTGTGCAATATGATATGTCATTATATAATTAACTCTTTTCATTTAGGGATCTACCCGTGATATTACATGCATTCACTTGTTTAATATCACGTAGAATTATAAGTTTACAATCTTACATAACATTGTAATTATAACATTGTCTATTAGTTTATAGATAAATATTTTAAAATATCATAACTGACTAATTAAGAAAAAAAAATATAAATTACTAATAAAATAGTAAAAAAAATACTAATAAAAGAGTTAGGATTCATTTATATACAAATTTTATATACTACATTTATGTAAATATACAAATTTTATATACTATATTTATGTAAAATCTTAACTATTCATATCTTCACTTTTAATAGTTAAATGAGTCATTTGCCTTATTAAATCCCTACGAAATGGAAAATGAATTGTTGGCTTCGTGATTTTTATTTTTTTTATAAGATGAACCATTCTTTATAGTTCTACTTTCAAAAATCTTGTTCATGTGGGCATCACCATTCTACTCATAATATTTCATGATTGAAAATTATGGCCATAACCTATGGGCCATCTTAAAGAAGTTAAGGATGTTATTGATACTTGCTTAAGTACTATCAGAGTTAAGAAGTATCCTGCAGTATGATGTTTAAAACTTTTGTTTATGTTGTACCTATGATTTTGATGATTACAAAATACATTAGAGTAACTAATTGATTCATTTAAGTGTATAGGTAAGTAAACTAAGATTGCACTAAAAAGAACCAAGGAGGCTGGACAATGTGCAAGGAGCCTGCTTAAAGAAATCTGCAATGGCCTCTAGAAGTTAAATTGTAGAAAACCGGCTTTACGGGTGAAAATTTCAAGTCCGTTGTTTGGCGCGTGTCGAAAACAGACGCAAAGCTGGCTTTGACTTTGAGCCAACTGTGAGGGCGTATATAATGCACAACAGTCGAGTTATTTGAAGATTATTTAATGTTTTTAAAGTTGGCATTCCAAAGTCGGCTTTACATTTTTGTAGCCAGCTCTCGAGAAAAACAGCATGTGCAAGAAACCCGTAAAGCCGGCTGCATATTTTTTAAGCTGGCTGTAGAGCTGGCTCTAGAAGTGTAAGCTGATTGTGCTAACAATTCTGCAATTTGAAATTACACGTCTTTGGAATGACCCCCAACGACTAAAAACAGCTATTTTCGAGCAAGGGGCTATTAATATGGTTGGTAGCAAATCTGGAACAAGTTTGAAGAGCTTTGTATTGAATATCTCTACCTACCAACTTGTGCTTTAAGTTGAGTATTTGATCTTTGAGTGATTTTTACTTCTAATCCTCTTCTTGTTCTACTTGTGTGTTATCTTGGGGGTGTGATTATTCCTTCAAGAGTGATTTGTAGAGAGAATTCTTGAGGTTTATCTTGTAAAGGGGTGAGATTTGAGAGAAACACCCATCTTCTTGTAAAAGGATTGAGTAGCTCTTTTAAGCCACAATTGTTTTTCTTAGTGGAGAGTGTGGAGGAAACCCTTGGTGAGTGAAGCCAAGGTAGAGGACTAGGCTCCAAGTGGTTGGACCGAACCTCTATAAAATCATTGCGCAAGCTCTTCTTCCCTACTCTCTCATTATCTTTTGTTTGGTGGTTGCAAAGAGGTGAAAATTTTCCAACTCCAATTCGCCCCGCTCTTGAAGTGCATTGAGCCAACAGTTTATTGATCTTTAATTGAGTGATTTGTTTTTGTTTTCCCAATATTTGGAAGTCTTCCCACCCATTTCTTTCTTTTTTGATTTGACAAAGTTGCTCCCTATAATGAAATATAAAATCTAGGAATGTTTTCTGTAGAAATTATACATAAATTGGACATTGATTGAGGAAGTGATAATTGAGAAAAGGGATGACAGTATTCTCTCCTCATTTTTGTTTAG